AAAAAAAAAAAAAAATACTCAAAATCCACAATTTAACTTTAAGGTAACAATTTTTCTTATACTCGATATAAAATTAAACTTCACCAGATAATCATATCCTTAGTATCTACCACAATATTACATATTTTCACTATAGTTTTATTTCATGGTGGTAACATTATGAAAATCAACAAAAAAATGATGGAATGAGGTGTCTATGCAATTCACAATTACCAAGTAGAGAACAATCTTGGTAAATATCGATTTACGGTTACCAAGTGAAAAATAATTTTGCATGGAAAAACAAAGAGCTTTTTAACAATGTATGATTTTTTCATGATGACATTTTACGATTACCTAACAAATGTTCTATTTATTATGACTTATTGATTAATAGCCTTCAATTATAAAATTTACCAAAATAAATACAGCTCGTGCATCGCACGGGGTTACGTACTAGTTAATACTGAGCATAGTTAATTTTTAATTGGAAATAAATTAAAATTCATTCATGTCAAATGACAAGCCATGAATATTTCTATATAGGATTCCGAAGCGTCAGAGTTTACCATTTAGGCTTAGTGCATTCGAGAATTATATATATGGGGATTTGATTGGTCTTTTTTTATTATTATTTATGGCAAATTATGTAAAAGTTAGTATGATTAGTATTTGGTGGGATTTTAATTTTTTATTAAATAATATTTAAAATAAAATAATTAAAATTGATTTGAAGTAAAAATAAGATAAAGATAGTTAAAATCATGTGAGTGATGAATAGAGAATTAAAATTGATGTGATTTGTAAGAATGATTGATTTGATATTATATTGATAATATTGATACTATTAGTATAGTGAGAATGAGTTAATTTTGAGTTGATATTGCATTCAAACTCAACTCGATTATCAATATTAATAAATTGAATTATATAAAATTTTGTATTTTGGAGCGTTAACAATATTGACTCGTTAATTAAACAAGCTTAATGTCCTCCAACTCATCTAGTTTATAAGAAAAATAGATTAAAATAAGTAATACTATTAAATAAAATAATCCCTTCAAAAACATGCAGACATCTATATAACTCTCTCACACACACACAGCTTCTTCCTCGTGAGTGCTTTCTGAATATACAACGCAATAAAAACTTCCATTAATTCTTATCATTATTATTTATAGAGAACTTTTCATTCTGCTACTTTTTTTTTTATTGAGAAGGATCGAGAGCAGGGAAAATGATGATGTGGGAAGCCGGCGAAACGATGGAGTCTACCGGCGGCGCCGCGGCGGTGCGGAGGAAGCCGTCGTTGCGTGAGAGAGAGAACAATCGGAGGAGAGAGAGGCGGAGAAGGGCGATTGCGGCGAAGATTTACGCGGGTCTTAGGGCGCAGGGGAATTACAATCTCCCAAAACACTGCGACAATAACGAGGTGCTCAAAGCCCTCTGTGTGGAGGCCGGCTGGACGGTCGAGCCCGACGGCACCACTTATCGGAAGGTGAATTTTTCGAATTTGGGGCTTTTTTTTTGCTCAAACAATTTTTTTAGCAGATCAATTTGGGGTTTTTGAACAGATCAATTTTTTTTTGCTCAATTTGGGTTTTTTTTTTTTTTT